TTCTTTCCTCTTTGTCCTCACATTGTCCAACTCCTCATCCCTCGTCCCTTCCTATCCTCTTTGAATTTCTTATTCTATCACTATGGTGTACTCCAAGGTAGGAAGCTATCCAGTTTCCACAACCGCCTTCCCTGCACGATTCGTCAACAATTCGTCCCGACCATTAAGACGCGGCACTGCAATAACGTCAATAACTTTGTGGACTTCCAATAACGACAGTAAAATCTTCAATATTTTAAGAATTACTTGTTGAGAAAATGGCGTATTGAATGATCCTGAGTTACTTCACTGATTTGTTTTATCTTCGAATAAGGCAAAATTATTTATCGTATAATTAGTAATGTTTTAATAAGCAGATAATAATAACGAGTGAATCATGCTATTTACATCCTACACGTAATGGCGTGAAAGGTATTGAATATTCCCATAAAAACTAAGGATACAATCCATAGCTTCTGCTGGAATCTGATCTGCTAATATCTTTCATCATATTTTCCCGAGTGCTGTTTCTACTTTGTCTTCGTAAGAGACAACTTATCCATTACAAGATAGGTTGTCATAAGACCGAATCTATTAGGATTAAAGTCACAGATCACATAAATTATTATTATGATCGTCATTAGCAAATTTATATTTTTATGTACAGGGAAAGAATGTGCCGGACATATCAATTATATTGTCTTTAATGAATCTGTCAACGAGACGAAAAATTACTTTCATCTTATTATTAATCCTTTCTTCTCACAGTTGTTTTTCTCTGCATTCTCATATTTATATGTCGTAAAGTATTTCAGATAGAAAAGAGAAAAAATCGAATCGTGATATCATAAATCAATCACAGAATCGTTCCAGCATCTTAAGATATTACTTAAGACGTTTTTGAAATAAGAATGGACTGTGAATATCGGTCCAAGTTTGTAAAAAATCACTTCACAATTTTCTTTATATTTCCAAGGCATTCTATCGTAGATACAAAATTTCTGTAATTATCTGAAACAAAGCCAAAATTGTAGGGCGTTGTTTGAAATTTATACTTCACTTCTACCTTTTTTTTCTCTGATACATGAGAGTCACATGGAAGTAACATTCGACACGAGAAACACAAGTATAACATTTACAGCATGAACGCTCGCGATATATCGCCGGGCGAAAGAGACTAAGCCGAGATACCCGGCCGGCGGTTCAGTAAACATGACAAAGACTCATAGATCAGTCGCTGATCCGTGCTGCCGAGCTGTTCTTACCTCACAGGACGGACCACAACGTTAAGTACGGTGACCGGCAAGCATGGATTGTGTTGGTCGAGTCGATTGTGTGTAAGTGCCTCGGAAGGAGAGGAGGAGAATAGAATTAGACGAGGAGGTGCCGGAGAGGTTGAACATCAGGGGTGGCGGGGTGGAAGGAAGGAAAGCAGTCCGAGTGGAATGAGGGACTCGAGGGGTTGCGGGAGGCTGGAAGGAGCTAACCGCATCGTAATCAACGTAAAATGGCGTCGGGAACAGGGAACGGAGAACGGAGGAGCCTCCTGAGGTCGTGCCGCCATTGTTGATCACCCTCACCCTCGTATAATACGTGCTATACGGTTCACCCAGGGATGCACTCTCCGTGGGCACCGCATCGAAGTTCTTACATCTCGGTGGAATTTTATATCGCGTTCGGATGGATGCGAAACATTTTACGATCGTGTAAAAGTAAGATTTCGACTTAAGACTTCGTTGTTGAGCTTGCTTGTGATAATATATATTGACATATGATGAGACTAGAAAATCTAAAATTCTTATAAAATCCTTATAAAATAATACTAGTATTCCCTTTAGGCTATTATCAATTTCACAAAAATGAAAATTAAATATGATACGTTATATCTGCTCGATTATTTTGATACAATTTGAAATTTAATTCTTTACATGAAGATACAAGAAACTACAACGCGATAGCTAGATTTTGCGTTAACAATAAGTATTTTCGCGCAAACCTCTTTTATTCCTCGAGAAGTATCTGATTCATAATACTGTTCCGCTTGACGGTTCATTTTGTATTTTACGATAAATCCTCAGTTCACTAGCGAGAAAGCGCGCTTCACTATCCGAAGTTGGATTCGACCCTGCGGGATGCTCGGCAAGTCGTAATAAATTACGCAGAAGTGGAGCTGTGAGCGGAGATTACTGGCCCGGTTTCTCCCACCATAGCACAGCAGCAGCCGGCTCCTATTTCACCACCAACCACTCCCCTTTTCACCACCGTCTGCACGATGGCGATGGCAGTTTCTCATAAGCCCCCGCCGCCTGCCTGCTGCTGCAATTTTGACGGGCGCACGCCAAATGCGACGCTAATGAAATCGACTCGCGATTCGCGCTGTGGATTCAACGACACGGAAACCGCTCCGCAACGTTATACGGAGATACATTTCAATCATGCTATATGATCTCGTTCGCAGCTTCCAATGCCCCAGTATTATTCAATGTTCTTTCGAGCGATAAGAATATTCTCAAGTGGTGAGGATATAGCAATGTAACGTCATCGGTGCTCGATACACAATTTTTAGTACTTTTGATCCGTTCAAGTTTCAATTAATTTAACATAAATAATTTAACAAAATAATTAATAAATCTGATGTCCATTTCTACCAAAATAGATTAATTTACTCTTTATCTTCTTTTTATTCTTAGAAAAAAATAAGTTAAACCTAGATTAAAATTAATCTACGTTAATAAAAATGGACATTAGACCCTTGACATCCCTGACATTCAACCACCCATATCAAAATTCAAACGTCGATTTGCAAATATGTATTCAATATATTTTGAATATAGCCGACCGCGTTTTTCTTCTGTAAAAAAAAAAAAAAATACGAGGATAGATTCGTTTGCTCTGGAACATACTCGAGAACGGCGCGGCGAATTAACAAGCCACTCGTGATTTCGAATCCGTCCGCAGCAAGCGTCGCCAACAAAGTCGGAATAATTCGGATTGGCTGCGCGCGGCAGATCACATAAAAATTCAGAGAAGTACTCTCTGAACGGTTCATTTCACCCGAGCTGATCGTGTTCGACTCAGCCTCGAGGGCAACATACATTATGGTGTGCTGACTGCCTACCATCTTCTCCGATAATGCAATTTAATCCTGAGAATGATATAAGGAACGCTTTTGTGTTACTCGCGCCGTTTCCGGAATACGTATTCCTCTTTTCTCTTCAAAATTGCGCGAGCTGCACGAGTGAGATTTAAACGCGTTTTCTAATTCCCGGGACTACGGTACTTTACTCACGATAGTCGTATCAGCTTACAAGATTATAGAGAGCAGAATATCTAGTTGGATGAGATTTCTTAATATGACTCAAAAATATAGTACGTCGAATTTCTTTTATGGAAGAAAAAAATTACGACCAGCATTCTTATGCTTTCAATTTAAAATTTAAAATTTGAGATTATTCTTTATCATTTTCACAACTCATCGCTCGATAATTTCAGCTTTTATTAAAATTTGATAAATACTCTTAAAATAATCCTAAAATAGTATTTGTCAATATTTAAGCCTATTCTACAATGTGCTCTTTGTTTCCTTTTGCTTTTTTTCTCCTTTTTTTGCAACCGTTCTATTAACAATTGTATTTTTTTGCTACGTAATTTCTTGTTTCTTTCGAAGTTAACTTTTATCTCGGGCGATATAAAACAAAAAACCGGATAAAAAGCGAAAAGACAAGATATAAAAAATAACAAAAAACTAGAAACAGGAAATAAAAAGCACATTGCAGAACAGGCTTTAGTTTTGTGCAACCCACAATCAGTGGCACACAAAATATATCATGAATAGATCGAACAAACAGAATACAATAGCGAAAAGACCATGTATGCATAGAGCGAATACTTCTATTTGCTACTTCGACATTTCTACCTTATCGATAGAATAAAAAACATTAGATGTTGTTACTCAAAATTTAATGACTGCAGTCCAATAACTGCATAGAATAAATATATTTCAATATCTTGTTCGATGAGATCGTCAGTAGCAGTTATTGGTAACAATTGTTAATGAAATCAACTGAAGATAAATCATTGGCTATGATACTGTACGATCATGATACCACATCATACTGACTGCTGATATTATTGCTGACTGTAACCGATAATATCACTTCTGTAGAAATGTATGATTTCTGTCCTAATATGGACAGATTTCTATCAATGTAAATTAATTTTAATCTCTTTAATTTTTTTAATTCTTAAAACTAAAAAAAAATTTAATTAAAAAAATTTAATTAAAAAAATTTAATTAAACCAAAATTAAAGTTGATCTATACATTAATAGAAATAGACATTAATTGTAGAAAATGTATAACGCAAAAAATGCTTTGCCTACAAATTAACATTTTAAAAATCAAATAATACATTCTCTTAGCAAAAAAACTTTCATTTCATTCAAAACAAATCCCTTAGATCTTTTAAATATTATATATATATATATTAAAAATACAGATCAAAATATATTTTATAATAGAAAAGAGACAAAAGTTTTAAATAAAACTGGAAATGTATATTACTGTTATATATAATATTTACGTTAACAGATCTCTAATTTAAAAATAGATATCTCTCATTTAAGATTATTGTACAAATTGCGGATAAGTTCCTGTATTTAAAATCCGAGCAAATGAGCTCAAAATAATCGCAATAATACGGCCCAAATTTTAAGAAATTCTCAACACCAAAACTTAAAGATTAAAAACTAAAAGACTAAATTTTGTTAGTGATCTACGTTTTATATATTATGAACATGTTCGAATAACCCGCCACAGTAATACGGTAGGTAAGGCCGCGTTCATTGTTATCTGAATGCACCCAGGTGTCGTTTCCTTGTTTAACATTCGATGAACAACAATGATAAACCGACACCTGGGTGAAGATTCTAAACCTGGGCGAAGATTCTGAACGCAATCCAGTATGGCGAATAATACACCAGCAACAGCGACTCATTCGACGACGTGTTGTACTTCGTAAGATGACAGATCGATAAGTAACACATCGTGGTTCACGAGTCAAGAATGCAACTACGCACGTAAAAACGCATCACGTGTTGATAAGGTTAATCAACGGCGATAACGAGTCGCGTCATTCAGTCATTCGTGGCGAGCTTCTGCAGAACGAGGTACGTCCTTATCGTCTTGTCAAAGTTTTATCGAATCCCGAGACGCTTTATTAAAATCCGCCGCCACGTAACAAGGTGTTCCCTTCTGCATGCTTTACGACAATAAACAGCTGATACGGCACAGCCGGCGCCGCAACAACCTCGCGCGCGCTCTCGCGTCGCACCGTATCGCTGATTCGACGCTATTACGAATCGTTTATCGTAAAATAGTGTATGCAACGTATCAAAGTCTGGCAGAAGATTTTAATATCCAGTTAGCTCTTAATTGTGTTCAGTACGACGAAGTTCGGTTGCAGCTTGTTTTCAAAAAGTTTTTTCCTTATAAGCAAATGGAGATTTTCTAAAATATTTATGGGATTTTTAATCGGAAATTTTAAAAGAAACTTTGTACAGGAACGGATTATTTAATTAACCGTGTAATTACATTGAAACCACGTAATAGCTCACGATTTGAGAATCTGAACGTTATAATGAAGTTATCCCTACTTCACTTCAAAATGAAATTCAAGATTTTAGTGACTATTCTTTACTCATGCTACTTATAACGCGGAAGAAATTTTTCGCGCTGTTTCGAGATCACGAGATTTCAGTTTTAATGAAAAAAATTACTGTTTCAGTCGTATCTTTATTTTTCGGAGTAGAAAAGAAAGAGAGAAAAATCACGGCTTTAAGATGATCATGATTTTTACCGAAAAAGTCTTTCATAATCCCTGCGGTCATATCTACGTTAAACTTTCTCTTATTCATAAAAAGTAGTTACATCTAATGATCGCGCAATTAGCAGCAGATGTTCTTTCTATCAAACATCTGTATTACATAATAAGAATAAAATTAAAAACAGCACCTATTAATATCGATTTTTAAGAACTAATAAAAAAAAATATTTGATACGATTGTGTATTAAAATTTCATATTCGGTCAGCACGCTTTTTCACCAACAACGTCGAATTAAATTTGATTTTCAATCATTTAATTGATAAATAAATTGTTGACCTTTCTGTATTCTTAGGAAAAGCAAAAATTAGATGCAATAGAATCTTTCGTAAATAAAAAAAAAACAAAGATGAAATCATACGCGCGCGCGTTTGAAATGTTTAAAATATCAATTTTATATTAATTAATATAAATATTAATATAAATTATTAAATATTAAATATTATATTAATTAATATAAATACTAAGTAATACAAATACTTGTATACTGAAGTATTATGCAGCATATCGACCAACATTATCATTTATACGTGTATATACATCTTATCATTTGATAAAAGAAACAAATATTAAAGCTTATAAACTCAAGAAACACGCAGTAGCATTTCGCGCCAAGTGTAGTGCGAAACCATTCCGTGTCTTTATACGAGTCGGCGAGTTGCGAACACTCGAGATTATCGGATCTCTCAATAAATGACTGAATTGACTATCTTTTGAATAGTCTCAATCAACAACTTGAGTTTAAATTATATAATAAAATTGTTTTTACTTTCTATGTACCTTATTATATAACAAAGATTTCGCGATGCGAAATTCGAAATGTCAAATTTTTAAGATAAATCATCATAATCGAAAATGTTGTCAGTTTCACATTTTAAACAGCAGATGACTCTCGCCTGTTGCTACAGAATGGGTATAAAGAGAGTGAGATTTGCATCCCTTAAGGCACTTCTCCCTTGGAGCAAACAATCATATTCATCCTTAATAAGTCGTTTAAAATTGTAAAATTACATTATGTAACTATTCAAAAAATATCTTCGATTTATTCGCTATTTCCAAACAATTTTGATTTTTGCGCTGTAATCCTTAAAGGACTGCCCCCCTCCCCTCCCTGCAGCAAACTGTAATATTCGTATCTAACATACTTTAACTGTTCAAAGTATATTTTCGATTTATGCGCTATGAATTCCAAGCAGTTAAAGCATAGAGAAGAAGGTGGTATTATGACCAGTGTATATATTGTGCTCCCTTAATATCTCTGCTATTATATAGCGAATCCTAATGATTACTTATGGAATTATTTGTTCAGTAGTTTTACCCTATAGCCATTACATTATGACATTAATATAATATATCAATACTCAATATAGCTAGCTCTTATTATAATGCATTTTTACTTTCAATTATTTTTACTTTCAATTATTAGTATTTAGAAATGTTTCTGAGGTATATTTTAGCATTTAATTAGACCTTTCCTCATTTTTCTTAAACTTGAGCGTATTATCAAGCGTATTATCAAGAATATATGTATTTTTGAATATGTTATTTGCTATTTAACATTTTATTTGACTGTATATATTTTGAGTTATGCAAATTTAAACAATAGCATGGCATTTTGATTTAATGTGGCTCTCTATGAACATTGATTACTCAGAACTCTTTTTTGAGGTTTTCATCAAAATAATAATTATTTGAAAATCGATTGTAACTCTACTGTTGATCTACGATTTATATTATGTGTACTAAGATTTTTAGTACTAAGATTTTTAGTAGATACTGAACAGCTTATATACAGAAGCTATGTGAATGCAAGGTTGTGCGCGTTATCTCAAAAAAAGTAACGCGTTACCATTATCATTACTTGAAAAGTAACGATACTTTTTCGTTACTTTTTTTATAATGCTAAAGTAAGTTAAATTTTAAAATTACATTAGCTGATTAATTTAATACTAAATGTGAAATAAATATTCAAACTTGAAACTCTCTACTAACTAGTTTGTATATAGAGCAAGTTTTTCTCTATATTAAACTTACCTACAGTTTTACTAATAATTTTATTTTACTTACAATTAGATATATCGTTATTTTAGTGTATTCATTTTTATAAGAATTTAGATTAAACAGATAACGGATTAAACATTGTTTTTAAACGTTAATGTTCTCTGGTGGAAATAAATCGATGAAATCTTTATCAATAAACCCATTTCAGTATAATTCATAATAAAATGAGTCAATTGATAGAGATTTCAGCGATTTTAACGATTTATTTCCACCAAGGTTACTATTATGTGTATTTCAATATTTACTGACCAAAAATTTGCAGTATATATAAGTCAAGTAAGAGCGTGATCGTGCACCATTTCATATTATTAGCCTTGAAATAGATTCGAATAGTTTCATACGATATATCTAAACCTTTTTGCTACAATTTTGCTTGTCCTTGACGCAGTGTTAAGCCAGGATTCCGCGAAAACAGATTTACTATTTTTTTATTGTCTTTTTTTTCCACTTTGCATATCGAGTCACGTTCCGGTAAATCATCGACATTATATCGCTGCACCCACTTCTGTACGAATGATTTCGATTTTTTCATATATTTAGCAGCCGCTAATTGTGACATTTTTAGGTGAGTACAGAGGAACACAGCTTCATAGCGTGATGCGTATTTGATACTCATGGCGTTTAATGTGATTCTCTTAAGAAAGTTCAATGACAACTGAATCTTCCTTAATAGCGCATCAAGGACAAAGGTGTCCTCTATGGATTCATGATAGATTTAGGGCGATATCTTTTATTAATTTTGAGTAAGACCGACCACAATCTTACTTGACTTACTGTATATTACTATACGTAAATGTATACATTATTTATATTTCACTGTATATTTCATTGAAGCACATCACATTGTCAATTAAAATTAATAAATAAAAATTCTATAGATTTCTGAAAATATAGTGAGTATATACATTTATTATAAAGTTAACACTTTAACTGTGACATGTATATCCAGTATTATACCCATAGACGATAAAGAAAAAATTTTGATGCTTTTTACCTAAAAGTATTCAGACCATCTAATCGTTCAGAGAGTTCTTTAAAAGCTTTCATATCGTTATCTGTATCGTCAAAACAAACCACTGTCACATTCCTCAGTTGAAAGGCTTATTTATTTCTTCGTAAGTCTCATCGGACTATAAAAGTACCCTCGCATACTAAAGGAGCTCAGATCATTTTGAAGTGTACTCCGCGGTGTGTTTCTTAATCGATATATTAAAAAAATAACGTTATATTTCTTCATTAAACAAGAAGTTTTTCTTCATTATACAAGGACTATGAAGGACTGTTTATTTGGAGTGTTACTTCTAGCAATAGTATCAAATGCATTCGAGGACATTAGTTATTTTCCGGCAACTAAAACCGAAATCAATACTGAATCAACTGAAGATTACAAATCCGAGATTGATGCTCTCTCTACTAAACCAATTAAAGATCACAAACAATCTTCTCTATCCTTCAATTTGACACCCGCCTATAAAAAATTGAATGAGTTGCGTAATGCTTTAGATAAGAATCTAAAATACGAAGAATTAACTCAGATTATCATAAAATTAGTAAATGATGATAACAATTCTACAAATCTATATACGTTGGACAGATTACCTTTATATATGTCCGACAGATATTATGCACCTCTCTTGATCGTGGATTTTTTATTGCAAAACACAAGGTTTAATAACATCTTTATGGAAGATTTGAAGAAGTGTCCTGAAGACATAAAAACCACCCAGCAGTTGCTATTCTTAATGGAGTGGTCCTCGAGTAAGGCGAAAATATTTTTGGATAAAATGGAAATTTGCTTAATACCACTGAATCAACCGAAAACCACAAACTCGAGATCAATACCACTGAACCAACCGAAGATCACAAACTCGAGATCGATATCACTGAACCAACCGAAAACCACAAACTCGAG